GAAAAGGTTGAAAAGCAATGTGTTTCTAACAAGGCAGCTTCTATAAAATCAACCTTCTGCCACCCCTCCACTCCCCAGCGGGCTGAAAAAGGCAGGGTGGTTTCCACCCTCCATTCACGCCCTGCTCAGTCGAAGCTGGAAAACGCAGTAGCAGGCAGCTCCCATGAACAGTGGGCTTGGGTTCAAATCCCCGCGCTTACCCCAGCACCGCTTTCCTGCAGCTCAGTGCCATCTCATGACAAATGAGCAGCAGCACCTAATTTGCCAGATTGGGGGCCGAATTATGAATCGGAAGATGATGGCGCTTTGCAGCTACTTCTCAATCACAGACCCTCTAAGGAGCGTCTGCATTTAACAAATATCCTCTGTGGTTCCTCTGTGTTCAACCGATACGAGAGCGCTTTGAAAAGTTGGTGGGAAACAGGTCTGATGCAAAACCTACCCATGCATTTCAAAAGTGTCTGCCTCAGAAGAAACTTCTTTGATCTTCCTTCTCCCATGAACTTTCTGAAGAACCTTGAGTAACTTTTGAGCTCCTCCTTTGGCCCTGGGAGGCTGGGGTGACAGAGGTGAGCAAGTTCCTGGGGACCTTGACCTCCTGCCTGGAGTGAACCGGCAACCAAATGAATACAGAATTGCCAACAAAGGCTGTGATGGCCAGCACCATGGGGGCAGTGCCCAGAAGACCAGAGATAAGAGCTGTGACGGATAGGACGGTGCAGACAGTGGAACTAGCACAAAGGAGAGCTCTTAGCCAGATGCAGCATCCACTTTTGCGGAAGAGGAGCAAGGACAGGTGGACAGGGGAGGAGAGGGGAGGGGTAAGAAAGCCAGAGAGGCCAGTGGGGCCTTGCTCCCAGCCACATGAAGGAGCAAAAAGCTGCGCTCACAGCCATAAAGGCACAAAGACCAGGGCAGGGTCTCCAATCTGCAGTTGGGATTTGCACCCCAAACCTCCACTGTAGCCCCCTTGTGATACAGCGCTCGGGACCCCTCAGCAGGCCAGGGCAGCAGCACTGCTTTCAGGAGTGGAAGGCGTTTCGGAGATGACACGCGCGCACACACACACACACACGCATGCATGCACGTGTGTTTTACTCATCAGGGAGTACCTTGCAGAGCCTCTCCTGTCACTCTTAAGCAATGCTTCCTTCAGAGCCTTAAATTTTCCACCGAAAATCACAACAGTATCTCCCCTGCCACAAGCTCCCTACACTGTGAGCCCACACTCCCCTCTCCTTGACACTGGGCTGACATGTGTCACTATCTTGCCTAGAACCCCCCCCCCCGGAAAAAAAAAAGTGCAGGTGCCACTGTGTGATGTCCGAGACGAGGACATAAAAATGCCATGCGCTTCTGCCCGGCTCTCATGGACGCACACTCTTTGGAAGCCAGCTGCCCCTTCTTAGGAAGTTCAAATGAAGCTCATGGAGCGCCCACGTGGTGAAGCCACGTGTCAGGTGTTCCAACTGACAGCCCAGCTCAGGGGCCAGCCACAGCTGCAGCAACTCCTACACATGGGCTGAGTCTGCAACCACCTGTCTCGGGTGCCCGGCCTTGCAACCCTTCCCGAGGGGGTCCCAGACACAGCAGAGCAGACAGGCCATCCCCATCGCCCCCCGTCCAAATTCCTGCCCAAAGCACCCAGGAGCAAAGGCAGAAAATGACTGTTTCGCACCACTAGGTTTTGGTGTGATGTCTTACGCAGCGATATAGACTGGGACAGAAATGAAAGCCCGAGCCGTGTGTGTGCCGTGTGTGTGCTGTGTGTGTGCTGTGTGTGTACTTCAAAAAAAAATTCCCGGAATACAGATTTTAAAGATAAGTTTAATTTGCTTCAAAAAAAATTTGAAGTCCATGCATGGAAGAGTCTTCAAAATGTTCATGAAAAATGCTCACTATGAAAGACTACATGGATTCAAAAATTGCACCAAAATCAACTTGCCTTTAAACTGCATTCCCCACAGACATTGTGGGTACTCTCGTGTCTGTAAATAGGTGTATGTGTGTGCGTTTTTCCTTAATCCCACTTCACCTCCTTGAGAACTTTCTAGAAAGAACACCTATCATTACCCATGAGTTACAACCCCTGGGGTTCATCCACACCACTTCTGGAGGAAAAAAAAAGATAACCAGACGGTTTACGCCAAAGAAAAATTCAATACTTTTAAACCACTCAAAATAGACAAAGGTAATCCATCCTTATTGCAAAACTAAAAGAGAAACCCTTGCAAATCTAACACTTGATTTCAACCAGCTTTGAAACCAGAGATGAAAAAAAAAATGAGATCTTCATCTGCGGCAGCTAAATAGGGCACCAGGGGCTCCTCTTGCTTTCCCCACAGCTGAAGACGCACACATGTGGAAGCACTATTTGCAGATAAGGTAGAGTCAGGCATTTAAGGTGCACTTAGCGTCCACCTGACACCGCCAGGCACCCACAGAATTCTCCTTACTATCACTGCTCTAGTGGACAGTAGCACCAATATTTCCCTTGGATCCAGCCTAACCCTTCATGACCCATGTTAACGCTCAAGTGCAGTCTCGGCAGGTGCTTTTCTGTACTGCACGTAACCAGACACAGTGAGCGCCTTCTGCTATATGACTGAAACTTTTCCGTATTACAGTCGAATCTAGGTTAAGTTAGATGCAAAGAGAGGGAGCTCAGATTCCATACGGTCAGAAATGAACCCCCACATTATATAACATTGCTGCCCCCCACGTCTCTACTGGTCTGGTAGAAGAACTGTGCTGTTTTTGTTTAATAATAATACTAAATGAATCTATGTTGGAAACCTAGCCTCTGAGAAGTCACATACAGGGATCAGCACATGGCTTTCAAGCTAAATAATGAAAACTACTTTGATGACGAGGAAAGCACCCACTCTGGGATTATAGAAAGATCACAACAGGGCACCCAGGTCGGGGCATGAGATCCTGGGACCTGCAGTGGGAACTAAGAGCCAGGTCACCTGAGTGGACGGCTCACCTGCTCCTCAATCGCTGTGTGACCCTAAGCTGATCACTCGGCCCCTCTCTGTCAAGACGTCGTGAAAACAGGGCTAAATTCACAACTTTGTCCATCCAGATAAGACCCCTTTAGGCAGAGGGGTCTCCAGGGTTCCAAGGCAACAATCACTCTTCGGATGTTGACATCAGCCAAATGATAATTCCCCAAGCAGAAAATCATCGCGGGCTGATTTCACATGCATTAATTAATGTGGCCAGAATTAGCTCCAAAAACCCATGCCTTTCCCAACACTGCTGCCCATCATCTAATGAAATCATGAATGCAGGATGGAAGAAAAGGTGATGAAGAGACAGACTTGCAAGCCTGGCCAGGGTGGGGGCCCACCCAGCGCTGATGGGTTGGGGTGGAGAAGGGGGGAGACAGGAATGGTTGATGAGCCCAGAGACAGGTAGGGACAGGGGGCAGGGATGTGGTACAGCACTACACCTGAAGTGACAACTGTATACAAACATCACTGCCAGCGAGACCATTCCAAAACAATCCTGAGGTCACTGGGCTTCAAGCTGGCAGAGTCTCCACTCTGCCCATCCAAATCCCAACTCTCCTGGGGAGGACTGGGGGTACAGAGTGGCCGACTGAACTGTCTGGGTCTCATCCCCCGTGCAGAGTATCTGCAAATCCTGGGAAGTTCTGGGAGCCCTGTGACTCACAGAGCCCCTACATGCCAGCAAAGAAGAACGGCACTTTACCAGACTTGGCACAGCCCCTGCCAAAGGTGGCATGCAGTAAGTACACCAGCTGGCTGTGCACGCCTCACATCTGGGAAGCCCCTGATGAGACTGATGTCTGGGAGACCTGGGGACTTGAAATCCCAACCCCCCACAGCCCCCTATGGGGTGCCAGACCCCATGGCCAGATGATGTGGGCCTTGGGAGCCACCAACGGCTTCTCTCAAGCTCAAGCCTGCCTCTCTCCTTATTACCATATATGAGGAAGTCTCTGCAGAGGTCTTTGAGACCTCAAGGGAGCCCCAGACCAGCCAGTGCATAGGGGGGAATCCCTGTTTTAAAATGGAGAGTGCTTTTAAAAATACAACAGCATCGCCAGCAAAATGCCTTTAGACTGTGCCCGCTGACACCTGGCGCTGGAGCTGTCCCCTGCCCGCTCGGCACCGCACGTGTTTGTAACTGCTTTCGCTCACATCCCTTCCCCAGGCTGTCTCCCCTCATCCGCGCCACTCGAATGGCCGGGCTGGAGAACCAGCTCACTACACTTAGTTCTCCGCGTCTTGCCTCGGATCTCGAAGCGCAACTGTCTCAGCACATGTGCCCGCAAGGGCCACTTCACGTCCGGAAAGGCCAAGGCCAAAGATAAAAAGTTGTGGGCTCCAGGATGGACCCGGCACAGGGCATGGAGAACGCAGTGGATAGAGTGGGGCGGGGGAGGGGGGCACCCCCGTGGTCCACCCCTTCTCCACAGCAGCAAGGGTGCAAAAGCGACCCACGGGCAAGGGGCCCCTGTTTTCCCAGGGACACGTCCACTGCTAAGCCCTGGCTAGATGGCGAACACTTTTTTTTTTCCGCTGTGCCAATTCCTGGCACCTGTTCTGGAAAGGCGGGTGGGGAGCTTCCCGCAGATCCACGCCGCCTGTTCTACCTGGGGAACACGCGGAGCACGGGTGAGCCACGGCCACCTGCGCCTTCGGTCCCGGAGCAAGCCGGAGCGCACAGGTGGTTACCTGCACAGGTAGGGAACCTCACAAGGCTAGCACAACTCGACGGCTGGCCTTGGGGGCCTGGCTGGAGGTCAAGGTTCCCCAGCCACCCACCCACTCACCGCCACCACCAGCCCTTCCCGCCTGCAGGGAAAAGGGCAGAGGCAAGGGGCGCAGAAAGGTCCCCATGGCAGCAGGCAGCTCCGAGCTCCGCCGGCCGCCTCCTCCCGGACCCCCTGCAAGGGGCAGGGGGCGTCCTTACCACCCGCCCGCCGAAGCCGCAGCGCCCACTCGGGGCAGGCGGCGAGCACTCACCCTTCTGCTCTCGCAGGCTCGACAGCGACCAGAGCAGCAGCGCCACCGAGGCTAGGAAGCAGAGCTGGCTCAGCAGAAGGTCCCCGCGGCGGCGGCGGCGGCGGCGGCGGCGCGCGCGGTCCTCGTCGCCGGCCGGCGGCATCCTCAGGCGGCGGCCGCTCCTGGAGCGGGCGGCCGCGGCGGCGACGGCGGCGGGAGGCAGCCCTGCGCGCAGCAGCCGCGGGTCCTCGCTGCGCTCCCGGCCGGCCGCCGCCTCCGCCTGCTCTTCCTCCTCCGCGCCGCTGCCCGGCTCCTCCTGGCCGTCGCCCTCGTCGTCGCTATCGCTCAGTCCCTCCTCCCCGCCCTCCTCCTCCTCCTCCTCCTCGCCGCCTGCCCGCGCCGCCGCCGCCGCCTCCCGGCGCTCGGGGTCCCGCTCCTCCTCGCGCGCCATGGCTCCCACGCTCCGCGCCCGCGCTCGGCCTGGGGCGGCGGCGCGGCGGGGGCGGCGGGGGCGGCCGGGAGGCGGGGGCGGCGGCGGCCGAGGAGGAGGAGGAGCGGGAAGGACCGGCGGGAGGAGGGCCCGCCGCTGGCCAACTCCGCCGGCTGGCGAGGCCACCCCGGGCAGGCTCCGGCCTCGCCGGCTACAGGAGCGCGTCGCGGGGCCGCCCGCCTAATCCATGGTCCACGCGCGGGGAGCAGCCAGGCAGCCGGGCGCACGGGCGGACGCTGCTCTGCTCGGCCCGCGGCGGCGCGGCTGGTCGGGCCCGGGTGGGCGGTTGCAGGGGGGCGCACGGGCGGGGGGCAGTGGCCGGCGCGGCGGGGAGGGGGCGCTCGGGAGGGGGACTGGACGGTGGAGAGAGCCGGGGCGCGAGCGCCAGTTTTCCACTCCGGGGGCAGGGGGCGGGCGTAGCGGGTCCCTTCTCGGACACAGGCTCTCCGCTCCGGGGGATTCGTCCGGAACTTTGGAGAAACGAGGGGTCTTTGCAGCCCCGACCCGAAGGAGGGGCGCCGCGAGTGTGCCTGGCTGCCCTCGCCCGCCCGCTGGGCTCTCCGCGGCGCGCGGGCCTCTCGGGTTTGCTTCTGCCCTCTTGCGGGGATCCCCTGTTTGCGCCCGGCTCGGGTTCTGAACAGGCCTCCCCAGAAGCCCTGGGTTCGCTAGGACTCCCCTGGCTCCCCTGGCTGGCCCGGGCTCACGTGTCGCTCCTGGACCGTGCTGGACGCAGCCCAGTGGCTGGCTGAGAGAAGGGGGCAACCATCAGGTCCCTGGGAGGCGCCCGGAACTTCTGCGGGAACCATCAGTCGGCCCCCATCCCTGAGGTTAGCGCCCCAGTCCCCTCTGGGGTTCCCAGTTCTCTTCCTGCCCCTACCACTGAGGACGCTGCCTAACCTGAAGATGGCAGGGCCTTTGCAGGGGGTGTCACCCCTCTCCCAGCCTCTTCTCCCTCTTGAGCATCCCTGGCCTCCCAGGTGCCTCCCTGGGGCTGCTGGCTGGGATGAGATGTGCATCCCTCTGAAAGGGACACCTTTGTCCTGCGACTGAAAGCAAAAGAGCTCCTTAAACAAACAAACAAAAATCCCCTGGGCAGCAGGTGTCTGTGTGTCTCCCTGAAGTCTGGTCAGATCAGGGAATCCAGCCCCAGGCTCTAGGGAGGAGGGGACGTCTCCAACCAGGGAGCCCCTGTGCAGATTCCCCTTCTCCTAGGTTAGGAAGGGCCACAGAGTCCAAATGTGTCTACCCCACATCCAGGAGGCTGTGGACAGCCTCTGGGGACGCAGGGTCACAGTAGGCAGTCGTGGTGGTCTGCTCTGCACAGCAGGGTCCTGACCCCCGCCCGGCTGGAAGGTGTGGCCTGGGCACACCCTGGGTGCGCTCCTGAGCTCTCCTGGGACGCTCGCAGGCACCTCTGAGAAGGACTCGGCAGGACCCAGGTCCGTCCAGGCAGGAGCGTGTGTGGGAAGACCCAGAAAGCTCCACCCACAATCTCACCACTTTTCCCTGTGAAAACTAGAAAAAAAAAAAGTGAAGAGGGAGAAGCTGGAGTGAATGGAGTTGGGGTGGGGAGAATGCCCTAGGCACAGGGAATTGTGGAATCTGGTCATGAGCAAGGGTACCAGGACAGGTGCAAGAAGCCAGGAGCTGGTACCTGCCTGAATTTACCTCTGCACCAGGCAGAGGGAGACAGAGGAAGAAAGGGAGAGGAAGTGACAGAGAACACTTCCGTGGCACGGGGAAATTATTTTTTTAGTTTATTTCAACAGATCGCAGAGCGAAGGGAGAGTGAAGCAGAGAGGAGATGCCTTGAGTGGCTCACACTGCCAAGGGAGAAACGCGGTGGCTTTGGGTCTCCCAGAGTGGCAGCACCTTAGCCCTGGTGGATTCCTCACCACCCCCCGCAGCTGTAGAAGTTTGCCTGGGATCCAGGACATCCTTGGTTCTCCCTCCAGCACACAAGCCTGGGCTGGGAATGCTCTCACGTCCTCAGTCAGCACTGGAGAGCAGCAGGAACAGGGACCCTTCAGGGTAGGGGGTGGCTCCCCGACCCTGGAAAGCCACCACTCCTGCCCACCCTGCTCCTCTCAGTCCTCGGCAGCTCCTCGGGAAAACTGTGTTTTGCAAGGAGCAGAGGTTGGAAGGGAGGGTGCGTTTCTATCACCATCAGGCTGCTCCTCACTCCTGCAGCAGCTTCTGCCTTGGTGTTTCTGAATCCATTTGCATTCAACCTCACGCTTGGGGCAGGCACCCTTAAGCAGCAGATTCTAAGCTCTGGGACTCAGATCCGAAAACTGCCTTGTTTGGAAAGACAGGCATCACCCCCAAATGGGTGTGGGGGGCAGGAATGGCAGGTGGAGGGGTTCAGAGCACCTCCACACCCACACCAGGTGCTGGGGCTCCCCGCCATAAACATTCCCATCTCAGAGTCGTTCATCCTGCTGGTGGCTCTGCATTTGTAACAGATAACCACCTTACCCACGGTTGGACAAGGCCCACCTCCTGTGACCTCCCAACTCGCAGTACCCGAACTGGCAGAGCAGTGGCCACCACAAACTGCGGCTGCGTCTCCACAACCCCACGCCTTTGCCAGTTGTGTCAGAGGCACAAGGCCCAAGTATAGAGGGCAAGGAAGGGAGAAGAGGAGAAAAATCAGAGACGTTTGCCTGGGACGTGGCAGGCCAGCCCCTTCCCACGGCTGCTCTGTGACACCAGGAGGTGTGGCCCAGGAAAAGGCCACCAGGTTTCCAATGCCACCACTCCACCCAGTAAGATCCAGCGCTCCTGAGGGGACAGTGATAGGGAGAAGCTCTTCCACAGACTCAACCAGGAACTCTCCCTGGACACAGCACCGTTAAGTGTCCAGGAGCTGTGAAAGCCACTGCATAATTCCAAGGTGGCCTCTGGAAACAACTGGCCGGGCGAGAGATGGCAGCCGCTCCCCACCTGCTGGTGCACCAACACGAGATTTGCATTCAAGCCCATCCTACTAAGGAAAGCCTGACGGATACTTCCCTCCCGTTCCTGTCCCCTGCCTTTGTCCCCGAGCCTGTGGGACTGCATCCTCAGAGACTTCCTGAGCCGGCAGCATCCCTATGAAGTGAGTCCATATTGTGCACTCTGCCCTGACCCCCCAGGCCCATGAGTGCCCCTTGTCCACAAGGTGAGCGCCCCTGGTTTCAGGCGTCCAGTTTCACAGCTGCAGTTAAAAGCAACCACTGATGTCTGAGTGATCTCCCGTTTCTAATTTTCTTCTGGCCCAGCTGTGTGCACAGATCTGGAGTTTTTGACTCACAAGGTGGATGTGTCGGTAGGTTTATTTTTTTAGTGGATCCTTGTCATATTCAAAGGCTGCCCTTTTAAAAAAAAAGATTCATTTCTTTTATTTGTGAAAGAGTCACAGTTGCATAAAGAGAGACCTTTCATCTGCTGGTTCACTCCCCAGATGGTTGCAATGGCCAGCTCTGGGCCAAGCAAAGCAGGGAGCCGGGAGCTTCATCTGGGACTCCCACATGGGAGCAGGACCCAAGCCCTTAGGCATCATCCACTGCTTTTCCCAGGCCATTAGCGGGGAGCTGGATGGGGAGTGGAGCAGGCGGAACTTGAGCCAGTGTCCACATGGGATGTGGGCATTGAAGGTGGTGGCTTTATCTGCTATGCCACAATGCTGGCCTCCAAACCTGCCCCTTCTTTTAAAGTGTTAAAGTACAATATATAAAGATACTTCAAAAGGTTTATGGACAAAAGGAATTAAAAGATAAGTTTATTTGAAAGTGAAAGGGTTTTTTTGGGGGGCGAGGGGAATCTATGCATAGTTTTTTCTTTATATATGTATTATATTTTCATGAGCTTCTCATACGCTTGGATTTCAAAAAAAATTTGTGCCAAAATGAACTTATCTTTTTTTTAAGATTTATTTTATTTATTTGAAAGAGTTAAAGAGAAAAGTAGACACGGGGCAGGGGGGGTCAGTCTTCCATCTGCTGGTTCACTCTCCAAATGGCCGTAATAGCTGGAGCTGGGCTGATCCAAAGGTAGGAGCTTCTTCCAGGTTTCCCAGATGGGTGCAGGGGTCCAAGCACTTGGGCCATCTTCTGCTGCTTTCCCAGACTGTAGCAGAGAGCTGGATTGGACGTGGAACAGCTGAGACTTGAACCGGTGCCCATATGGGATGCTGGCACTGCAGGCCGGGACTTCAACCTGCTGCGCCACAGCGCCAGCCCCTGGCCTTTTAATTTCACTTCCCTCAAACCTTTGAAGCTCTCTTGTAGATGCAGCAAAATGCACACGATGAATGTTTTAGCTCAGGACTTCATACGTGTGTGTGCATCCTCCATGGCACCAGATCACAATCCAGAATGTTCCATCTCCAAGTCTCCCTCGTGCCCACCCTCCCCCAGACCATGATCACTCACCCCCTCTTCCTACCTCCACACTGTATCCCTAGGTCATTACCTGGCCTTGAACTTCAGGGGAATGGAGGCTGCCTTTGCTCAGCTTGTTTCCGTGAGCACCGCCGTCCACACTGGTGTGCATAGCTGTGATTTGCTCTTTTCCAGGCTGTGTAGGTGTAGCTTGCTTTCTACCTGGTTCTTCAGTTCCCTTCCAAGTTCAGTGCCAGCCAAGAATAATCAAGCCACCGCATCTGGCTTGGAGACAAGTGGCCTCCCAGGCTGGCTAGTCTCATAAGGTGTTTCAGCGGAAATCAGAGTAGTCACCAGCTGGTTCTCAAACCGGTTCTGCTACCTGAGAGGCCCATGGGCACCTGCAGGACATCATGTCACCTAACAGATTTCAGGTGCCGCACTTTTAAAGACACGTATAGTGAGGCCAGTGCTGTGGTGTAGTGGGTAAAGCCACCACCTGCAGTGCCGGCATTCCATATAGACGCCGGTTATAGTCCTGGCTGCTCCACTTCCAATCCAGCTCTCTGCTTTGGCCTGGGAAAGCAGCAGAAAATGGCCCCAGTCCTTGGGCCCCT